CAATTGTGCAATCGATGTGTATGAACTTTTTATGAATTGCCCCAACCCAAAACTGAAGTCAAACGAAATTCTCGATTTAATTGATCGGTTACCCGAATTAACATAAATAACCAAATAATTTATATTTTTAAATTATAAAAATATATTAATTAGCATACTATATTATCTAATATTCAATATTACTTTTAATTGTCAAAACCTGCAATATATAAATAACAAAATAATTTTTTTTATATATATTTCTATTAATTTAGTTATTTTTTTAAAAAAAGTTGACATCGAACCGAAATAATCAATTATTTAAAAATAAAATGGACAATCGACATCCAAAAATATAAACTTCATACCCAAAAATGTAGTTTGTCGAGTTCGCTCGCTATGGTGCAATCTGTCAGTCACTAATATGCAATTCGTTCATCACTAATGTGCAATCTGTTTGTAAACCGAATTAACTAAAATATAAAAAAATAATTACTATTTATATTAGTAAAATATATTTAGTATTGTTATATTTATATTTTAACATATTATATTATTTTTGTTGGGATACATAATATATGTATAATATAATAAATAATATTTTTTTTTATATATTTCTGACGGTTCGGTTATTTTGGTTGTTTTAAAAATAAAAACGAAATCGAACGAGAAACCATAATTTTAAAAGTAAAAATTGACTACCTATAGATTGGATATTTTAGACAATCTATCCATTGACTTTATGTAGAGAGTATTTTTTACTTGCATTTCGATTTTAAAATATTTCACTAATTTGTATTTCAGTTAATATTATTGTGCAGTCTAATATTCAATAATGTGCATCATGTTTAACGCTATGGTGCATTATACAGTACGGGTGTTTATTATGTGCAAATCCAAACGTGATAGTGTGCATTACATTGAACATCATTGTGCTATAAACTTTTATCAATATACAAATTTAACTCATGAACTTGCAATATAGTTGAAAATTATTAATTTATATATAAGTCCCTTACACTTGTCTAATTTGCAAAAAATAGCCCTAGATCCAAAATTTCAGACTTTACCATCTAATCATCCTTCTTCTTGGTCATCACCCCCGCCAATGGCCCCACCTCCGTCGGCTCGCACCTCGACAGTCGGAATGAGCATGTATCCAGTCGAAATACGCCGTGTCAGTCGGAACCTGTTGCTAATACTAAGAAGATGGAGAGGGAGGTGAGCAGGCTAATCGGGTAGACCATGACTCCGACGGGGCGCGCGCGATTCGGATCTATGGCATTGATGGCTTTTCCAGGCGAATTTCTAAGAAAATGACCTCGATCGTGCAAATAAATGCCCAATTAGGAGCAGAGGTCGTGTG